CATTTTTGTTATGTGCTTCCCTACATTTTTGTACTTTTTTAATTAATTGATTTTTAAGTTATTGCTTCTTACATTACTTATATCCGTTGCTTTTATTTTAATATTGGCCCTTATATTTTTCTTTTTCGTGATCTACTTTTTGTTTACTTTTATTTCATCTCATTTTCTTTGTTTATTTTTGAATGTTCTTCCATTATCTTTCTACTTTCTATTTGTTTTCTGATTGTCGAATTTTATAACCACATGAATCTTTCGTACTGTAGTCGGAGCTGCTGCTAGATGTACTCAAAAAATATTTTGATGAAATTAATTTGACCTCTCATTTCTATACGGCTCCAAATTCTTTAGTTCAATAAATGGATATTATCCAAAACATCGTAAAATTCACGCTAATTGGTTGTTAAAAAATGAAAAATAAATTTTTGACTATTTAAAAAAAGGCCTTGTTCTAGACTGCTCCCTTTTAATTAGTACCTGTTTCAAAAACCCCTAAGTCATCAGTAGGTACGATCCCTAGGGCGAAGATGTAGAATCCCAAGGAAGTATCTTAAGACCCATTTCTACACCGTATATACCAGAAACGTTCTTTCTGGAACTATTCATACCAATATGAACATGCCAATTTCGTCCTGGGGGGGGGGGTCGATCAACCAAACATAATCACTAAGTACAATATCCCTCTCCCATCAGCTAATATTGCACTTTGTTATACAATGGCAAACGACACACATGTAGAACAGACAGTATACACGACTCAAATGACAGACGCTTCAGACTTCTTAAAAGACCGCTGGACAAACGTTCAAAATTGATTTTGATTCATTTGAAAAAATGGCATCGAATCTTAGATTTCAAACAAATGTTTCAACCTCCAATGTTTCTTTAAAATCCAAAATCCTCCAAACCGTCATCAACGATCCTTTTTATGTTACCATCTTACCATTCACAATGATCTTATTATCCAATACCTCTTTGAAGTAGCCTGCCTAAACTGCTACAAGACGTTTCACAAAAGATTATCCTGTCACTCAAATCCCCGCCTGTAAGAAACTTTTCATATCTCATAAGAGATGTTTGTCTCGTTTCAGTTTGCCTCCATTTGTTCTACTTCCGCTAATGAATCGTTATATTTTAATTTTCAGCTTTTTATGAATCTACCTTCTACTTTTATGCCTTATTGATACTAGTTTTCCTATTGTTTTACCAATGTTTGACTTTTATTGATTTCACTGTCCTAACTTTAGCTACCATATTTTCTCCTTTTTTTTAAATTAGCTTTCTATACTATTTAAAGTTAATGTTGTCGCGTTTTTATCCGTTTTTCTTATAATCTTCAGTTTCTCGCATTCCCCTTTCAATATTTGGCTTTCTAAATTAATTATTCTTTTCCATTTTGTTCAATATTGCCAGGTTATTCTTTTTACTTTCTTTTTCCGAATATGCTTAACAGTTTCATTTAATTCCAAGGATTTCATTTTATCTCCGTTTATTTTATTATCTTCTATTTTTTTGTCCTTTATTATTTTCTTCTTTTAACTTCCTTGCTTATTTATAGTCTTTTCTGTATTATTTTTCTTATTTTCTTTCAAATTTAATTGTTTCTTTATTTTTTTAACGGTTTTCAGTTTGCCGCCTGTTCTTTGATTTTTTCTTATTTGTTTTTCAATATGTTATTCTTAGTTTGCCCCTTGTTTTGTACTTTGTTGTATTTTTTTTCTTTAGGTATCAGAATCGAATGTATTTTTTGTATTATTGCTTTTTCTTTTGTAGTTTTATTATTTTTTATTTTGGTTACATTTTCTTTTTTTGCCGTTTTTTTATCGCATTAACCTCATAATTTGTCTTTGCTTCTTATATTTTTTGGATTTTAATAGTATAATTTTCAGTCTTTTTTCTAGTATTTGACTACTGAATTTCTCTTTTGAATTCTTTCTTGTTATGTGGTTTTGTGTCAGAAGCGTGTTCTATTATTGTTTCTTATTTATTTTTAACCATGTTGTATTGCTACATTACTACTATTATTTAAAGGAAAAAAAGTTATAATGGATTTTCTGGTGCCTGCGTGCGAAAAAAAATCTTAGTTTTAAGTCGTGCAAATTTAAATTTCGCGCCTTTGGCCGAGTGGTTACGATTGCCGACTTGGGCCTCGGAAGTTGTGGGTTCAATTCCAAACTCCGTTATTAATTTTTTCCCCTTTGGTTTCATTCTTCCTTCCTTTCCTTTCTTTTCCTCTATTTCTTGCCTTTTCCTCGGGTTTCGGTATATATCCTCCTCAAAAATACCGTGGCGCTCAACAATTCTCTACCTTTCTCCTTCACCCACCCCCTTCTCCACTGAGCGACAGGAACAACTGTTGTCGGCCGAAGTTTCGACCGTAACAGTTGCTCTTAGTTTAACTTTTAGTTTTGTACCTTGTCATATTTCCTTTCTTCTCCTTATTTATGGCGTAATAATTGAATGTATTTTTCATATTGTCGCTTATTCTTCAATTTTTTTCGATGTTTTGTCTGTCTTTGATTGGTTGTATAAAATTCAACAAAATTTCAAACCTAGCTTTCTTCCTTTCTCAGAATTTTCTTTTCTATTTAACCTTGTATTTTCTCTCTGCTTTTTTGCTACTATTTCTTTTCCTTTCTTTTGTGTATTTTTTCTTAGCATTTTATATTTTTCAGCACCATGTTTTTTACTATCGTTCGGCGTTTAGTATCAGAATTTTATTTTTGTTTAACATATTAGACTTCGCCGTTTTCTTCCCTTTCTTCCTTGCTATCGGGTTGTCCGGAAAATAATGCAGGATTTTAAGTTTTCATTAAAAAAAATCTATATAAAATATTCTGTTTACGTTTACAGGATTACTCATTTGTATGAATGTCAACACTTATTAATCCTCTTCCAAATGATATTGTTTGTTTACCTCTGTAGCATTCCGCTACTTGGAAATAATTCAGTCATCCTTATAATGTCAAAGCGAGAATTTCGTACGATTTTCTTTTACGAGTTTAAACTCGGCCGAAGCGGAGCCCAAACGGCTAGAAACATTAACCAAGTCTGGGGCGAGGGTTGTGTTAATGAGTGCACTGTGCAAAGGTGGTTTAAAAAATTTCGGGAGGGAGATTTCAGCCTTGAAGATGAAGAAGGTCGTGGAAGGCCTTCCTCTCCTAATGATGATGTTCTGCGATCAGTGGTGGAAGAAAACCCCAAAACAACTGTTCGAGAACTTGCAGAGCAACTCAAAGTCAGTAAAACGACCGTCGCTGACCACCTCAAGGCGATTGGAAAAGTGAAAAAACTCGAAAATTGGGTTCCACACTCATTAAACGATCGCCAAAAAAATCAGCGCTTTGATGTTTGTGCATCACTTCTTTGTCGAAACAAAAATGACCCATTTCTGGCCAGAATTGTTACATGTGACGAAAAGTGGATTCTCTACGATAACACTAGACGTTCTGGACAGTGGCTCGACAAAGGAGAAGCTCCAAAGCCCCCAACTCATCAAAAAAAGGTAATGGTTACGGTATGGTGGGCTTCATTTGGTTTAATACACTACAGCTTCTTAAATCCTGGCGAAACCATCAATGCTGAATCATACTGTAACCAAATTAATACCATGCATCAGAAATTGGCAGTAATGAAGCCCTCTTTGGTCAATCGGAAAGGGCCCATTTTGTTGCATGACAACGCTCGACCACATGTGTCACGTGTAACGTCACAAAAATTATTGGAGCTTGGCTATGAAACTTTGCCTCACCCACCCTACTCTCCGGACCTCTCGCCTACTGACTACCATTTTTTTAGACACCTGGACCACTACTTACAACACATAATATTCAAAAATCAAACGGAACTGGAAAATGCATTTATTGACTTTATCAATTCTGAAAATTCTGAATTCTACTCAGACGGAATTAATAAGTTACCAACACGTTGGGAGAAATGTATTGAGAGTATGGGAAATTATTTTGATTAAAGAACATTGCTTTAAAGTAACTAGTTTCTTTTTTTTTGTTTAATACCAAAATCCTGCATTATTTTCCGGACAACCCAATATTTTCAGTTTCCCAACTGTTCTCTTATTTTTTAATATTTTCTTTCAGTTCCTCGCTATCAGTTTTACCGTTGTTTTGGCTCTGTTTAGCATTTACATCCACTACACTTTTAATGTTATCTTTTTCTTTGTTTGTTTTCTATTTGTCTTTTTGTCTATTTTGTTTCTTTAACGCTTGCATTTAGCATTTTTTATTCTTTATTCTCCAGGTTCTAGTATGTTTGGCTTCCAGTCAGTACCTATTCAGAAATCGTGAGATGCGGTCTGGTGTGATGTAGGTTTCAGAAAAACATTTTCTTTATCGTGCCAACGTTTCGATCTTTATTGAGGTCATCTTCAGGGCCTGGGATTTACAAACATTCTTTACATTTAACAAATACATTTAGGATGTGGAAAAGTGAATTTATACAATGCAAAATATATTTTTTATATTCAATCAAAGTACTTCTACTCACTATTGCACAGAAGACAAACACTTTGAGTGAGTAGAAATACTTTGATTGAATATAAAAAATATATTTTGCATTGTATAAATTCACTTTTCCACATCCTAAATATATTTGTTAAATGTAAACAATGTTTGTAAATCCCAGGCCCTGAAGATGATCTCAATAAAGATCGAAACGTTGGCACGATAAAGAAAATATTTTTCTAAAACCTACGTCAGACCAGACCGCATCTCACGACCTCCGAAATATTTAATGTTGCACACCGCTATTTTGTCAATTATTAATGAAGTATAATTTGAAAACATCCAGTTACGACCGGGCCGATGAATCACACATTTTCACAGGCAATGAAACTTAGGCAAAACAAACAAGCGTTTTAATCTAACTTAAATTTCTCGGAACTTTTTTATTTTACCTTGAATGCTGGAAATTTAAATAGGCACAAATGATATCACGATAGCTGGCAGATAAGGCGGTGAAAAATAACACAATAAATACCCCAGTCGGTTCGCCAACTGAGTCAGTCAACGTGGGAAAATGATTGTGAAACTCGCAGTCGCTTTCTTACTCATCGGCGCATTTATTGAAGGATTCCCTTTCCCGCAGGCTGGAAACCGCAAAGAAACCACACGTAAATAATTAATAATTTGTACAAATTATATTTTTATTATTTAATTTGAATGTCTAAAAATTAAACGAATTTTGCTGTTTCCTTATTTTTAAAACGGTATATGATATTATAAACTTCAAAACAAGTCAGACTACTCTGTACATACATAGATCCGGCCCTTTAACGCTAAATGCAATAAAAACAAGATTAAAAGAAATTTGCAGTGTTGGTGGGCCGGATTGGCAGAGAATTTCTCACGATCAAGAGCACTACCGATAAGTGGCCCTCGTAGGACCTGACTCGTAGAAGTTAAGATTAACGATAATTTAAAAATTTATTTATTTTAAATTTCGCAAAACCTGGAAATGCCAGCGAGAAGTGATAAGTAGTGATATGCGATAACAATCGTAGTAAAGTATCGAGTATAATCTTTCGATACCGAGTACTTTTGGTATCGAATATTGTCATTCGATACAAGTACTGTATGGAGTACTTTTTGTTGTATTGGTAAAAATAATCAAATAGATTTTTCATCGACTGTTCATTTTTTTCATTTCATCGAAACTTACCTTTCGTCAAACTGGGAGTTGATTAGTTACTATTAAGAGCGACTACTAGCGGCATGTTTGAACAAAGTTAATCGAGATTTCGAATTGGTGGTTATTGACTCTGCTGATAATTCTGGTAACTCATAATTCTTTTCCGCGTCGCACTCGCACTTTTAATTTCAGTTTTTTTATAAAAATTTTTTTATAAAATGTTTTTGTCTTCAAGTATCAAAAAGTGCTCGCTTTACTTCTAATAGGTAGATACCTAATCAAGTCTCCTCTCAAATATAAGGCACGAGGTTATTTTACTAAAGAAAAAAAATGATTCGTCGGCATCTTGTCAACTGAATACGTCTAATCTTTTCGAAATTTGAAAACAAAACACCCGTTGATCAATTTTCTCAAAACTAGATAACGATAAAATTGAAATATCAATGTTGAAATGTGTTGACAGATTTTCCTTCTTCTTATCTACGTATTCTCTGTATGAAAAAAATACTTAAAAATATGAAAAAAAAACCTGCAAATTTTTGTTTATTTTAACGCATTTTATTTACTTTTATTTATTATTTTAACGTATTTTACCCACAAGTCGATAGTAAGTTGATATGTAGTCATATGAGTAAGTATTTCTTAGGATCGAATAATTTCTGTCGATACTTGAGTATTATCGAATATTTTATCGAGTACTGGACTCGAATATTTTCTGGTATCGCATGCCACTAATGATAGGCATAACTCTGTACTCTTTGATTTGAGCTTGTATAAATCAGTACTGTACGTTCTGTAGATATATTTTTAGACATGTTTTGTCCTTTTTTACCAAATAAAAATTGATATGTTTAATTATATATAAAGTAATAAGATATTTAAACAAAAACAAGCAAAGAGTCATTATCAATACGTAGCTTATATAAATTATTGATTACTGATACAATATTTTTGAACATTATTACGAATAAAATAAAAATTTACAATAAAAATTATAAACAATTATATACTTGTAACAATTAATTTAAATACAAATTTTAAATTCACCATTCTTATTCAGCAAACAGCCACCTACTTGTTTTTATTAAAATTAACAATTTTTTAATGAAAAATGAACATAGGAACATTCCATTTGCTTTTTTAGATAAACACCTTGAATTGTAAAGGGTTCCTTGGGTGGCGTTAGATTCGTACCATGCAGAGCTCCTTAAGACGTTTCGCTGCTCCTATAAAATTAGTACCCATGTCTGAAAATACATTAGAAGGTAAACCACGCCTTGCAACAAATCTATCAAAAGCTGCCGAGAAAGCTTCGGTTGACAATGATAACACAATTTCTAAATCTACCGCTTTGAAAGACATGCATATAAAAATGCAGCGCCGAAATCAAGAAGTCTGTATGCAACTAAGCCGTGCGTATACACTTTTTAAAACTTGCTTAATATTATTATACATAGACTGTAAATACACTCAAGTTTTAAAAAAAGTATTAAATGAAAAATAACCTTTTAAATATATTACAATTAATTAAGGTTTTCAGTTGAGATAAAAAAGTCAATGGCACGAGCGAGATTCGAACCCTTTTTTACCTCAACTGAAAACCTTAATTAATTGTAAGATATTAATTGGTCAAGCGGATCACGAAACTAGTGAATTTAATAAGGAATCTTTTAAATATAATTAATTGGAGGTCGTGAGATGCGGTCTGGTGTGACGTAGGTTTTATAAAAAATTGTTCTTTATTGTGCCAACGTTTCGATCTTTATTGAGATCATCTTTAGGGCTCAAAGTGTTTGTTTTCCGTGTAGATATGTCATGTGCCCAACACGAGGGATCTCAACACGACAGACAGGAATGACACATCTACACGCAAAACATATAATTTGAGCCCTGAAGATGATCTCATTAAAGATCGAAACTGATCGAAGTCACGATAGCTCAAGTGGTAGAGTAGAGGTGTATCAAGCCGAAGGTCGTAGGTTCGAATCCCGCTCGTGACACTGACTTTTTTATCTCAACTAAAAACCTTAATTAATTGAATGATATCAATTGGTCAAGCGGACCACGAAAACTTGTGAATTTAAAAAGATCGAAACGTTGGCACGACAAAGAAAATGTTTTTCTAAAACCTACGTCACACCAGACCGCATCTCACGACCCGCAAATAATCATCAACTAACGGTCACTAAACGCCACACACTTTTAAAGATAATCAAAAAATTAAAAGAAATCCCGATTGACACTAACTTTGGTATTTTTGACATTTTCTCTATTTCTTTCAACCAGGGCCGAATCTTGAAAAATGACTCGCACCAATTTTATTCCTAATTAAAAAAGTTTTTTAATGAGAGTTTCTAAGTGAGTTATAAACTCGTTTCTTTTATTAAATCCTTTTGAAGTCACAACTAGGACCCTTCAAATTGTCTTATTAGTACATAAAGGAACGTTTATTTGCACACAGAGAAAATTACCTTGAAGACAAAACGGCATATTGTCCAGGCAATCTTTACTTTTCTTAGATAACAACGGTGATTCATGGTCGCCCTTGCAAACATTTCATAACTTTTGTGACAGGTTGAATAAGTAATTAACTGTTTACTTTCAGAGCCTGCTGATAAGGGATGCACGAGGGATTCTTGGACGACCAATGTCGAAACTTGCGTGTGCAAGGACGGAGTGACGACATGCCGTAAAACATGTACGTTTACATTCATAAAACCGACTGAATGGAAATAACATTTTATATTACGTTTCAGCCGAGATGCACACTCCGCCGGAACCTTTCGTGAGGTTTTTATACCAACCGGCGTACGTATTATACCCATATCCAGTCGGCTACCCGGCATACAACCCGACCTACTCCAACATGCGTCCTAGCAATTACACAGGATACCGTCCAGGACACTCAGGATACTACCCGTTCCGTCTTAACTACACCAAGCCACACACTCCGACTTATTACAACCCATATCCTTACTATTAGATAAATCTAGAAAGAATGTAATAGTTCTGATAAAATTAAAAGTTTTCAAAATTATTTGAAATGACATTTTTTTAAACAAATCCTTCCTTGTGACCTTCAGAAAACAAACACTTTGTGCCCTGAAGATGATCTCAATAAAGATCAAAACGTAGGCAGGTAAAGAAAATGTTTTTCTAAAACCTACGTCACACCAGCGCATCTCACGATCTCCAAATAATCATTAAGTAACGTTCACTAAACACCACACATTTCTACACGAGAAGAACGAAGAACATGGTCTTATATGAACAGATTTCAATTACATATGGACACCAAGCAAAGAGTCTTCTTAGAAACTTGCATCGGCTATCAATCGGAGAAATTTTTCGTTGAAATGCAGACAACACTATTTCCTACTAACATCAAAAACAACTTTAACTTCACAAATGCCACACTTACACAACCAAGCACCAGAATTAACGACATACATAAGGCTACATTACATTTCATAAGAGACATTGGGCACTATCAACACGACACGCAAGAATAACACATCGACACGGAAAAAACACTTCGAGCCCTGAAGATGATCTCAATAAAGATCGAAACGTTGGCCTGTTAAAGAAAATGTTTTTCTAAAATCTACGACTCACCACACGGCACCTCACCATCTTCAAATAATTATTGGCTAACGGTCACTAAAAACCAGACACTTGTGAAAAAAGTTACAGCTTGCATGAAAGGCCTTCCTCCTGCATCCAGTTCCATTAGACTTTGAGGAATTGTCCAGAACTTTGGCTTTCTACAGTTCTCACAACTCTAATATAAAAATATCTTGTCTCTTATCTCCAAGTGACAAAAATATAAAAAATAAATAAACGCTGAAATAATTATGTAAAATAAAAAAATGTTTCATTTGATCAATTTTATTGCTATGATTTTATTAAAGAATGTCAAATATAGTGAGATTAGTGATGTAAAAAGGGGCAACGGGTCCGGCATAGGACCAATAGCGAGGACGAGCGGACCAGAAATGCTCCTTTTTCCTTTAAACCGGACTCGATGATTATTCTTGTACAAAATACTTGTTTTTACAAAACAACTATATGAAAAACACAATACTGATAGATTTTCTTAAATATTTCGACGGAATTTTATACTCTAATGCTTTCTTTAACCTTCCCACGCCCTACGCCTAGGAAAAGAAAAATAACACAAGGGTTAACAAGGGTAAATATGATAAAAACCTTCCATTAAACAATAAGAATCAAATTAAATAAGATATCAAAATTGCTCTGTGTAATAATTTATTTTATTTTTCTTTAAGATATTACATATAATTTGGTACCAATATTTATAAATCCGTTCCAACGGTTCTGTTTAAATCGTCCAAACCCGATGGAAAATAGAAAAGCTATTTCCACATTGATTTTACACAAGAGCTGGTCGTAAATTAATTTACGACGACCTCGCTTTGCGGTAGTTTCCGGACATAAGATCCCAACTGCTGCGGGTAATGCGAATAGGAAGCAAAACGGACCAACAAGTAGTAATTCACACTCCATATTAATTCTGCCCTTCCATTCTCACCCAGGGCGGGCTCCAACTTGAATACTGATGCCCTGAAAGTACCAGTCCCTCCTTACCGAGTTTAAGATTTGTTGGAAATTTGTCATAGGCCGATGCGAGCTTACTTACTGATTATTTAAGACGTAGAGATTCGATCAAACGTCAGATTAAAAGACAATTCAAGTATATGTGTCAAGGGTCCTGATAGCTCATCGTTGTTAATCTTAGCTGCGAAAGAACATTTTTTCAATTTGATATTCATTAAGTTTGATTGTTCGTTGGTTCATAACGAGTCTTAGTGAATTTTTTTTTCTACAATACATTATCATTAACAAACAAAAAAACATTCAATAACGATGTCTCAATACTATAAAGTTTCAAACAAAAAAATTAAAATTCAAGCAGCACCATATATTTTTACTACATTCTGATGACAATTGATGGTTGAAAATAATGATAACGTGAGAAACACTGCATTCAGAAACAAGTCAATGATTTAACAATCGAGTCAACATCAATCAATCCAGCGACAATAAAAAAAGTAAATAACAATGGCGACGTCATTGTAGACTGGCCTCCCATCAAAATCAACTTATTGCCTATTGAAATCAGTATGACCATATAAAACTTAGCTTGTCCAGGTTGTTGAAATCTTTGGATCACTATATCAAAGAATAATGGTGAGCTCATTCTAGTCAGAAATCTGATCCAAATCGGAGATATAAGAATCGTTGTAATAAGCAGTTTTTCAGATTAAAGATGAAGCTGTTGCTAAAAACAATTGCTAAGAACAATAAATCATGCTAGAAGGCATTTGACCAGACATAAAGAATAACAAGTGAAACTATTGGTACAGCTGATCGATGTCCAACACAACGTCATGGTTGGCACGGGCTTGTTAAAAATTACAAACTAAGGTGACGTTGTGATTAAACATTGCAACATGAATATAGCCCGTTCCTAAACATAACCACAACTAACCTAATCCGTCACTAAACATAACCCTTCATGACCTATCTCTAACCCAACCTAGTCTGCACCTAAATATAACCCTACTTGACCTACCTTAATCCTAACCATAACACAACCAAATCTAAACTAATCCGTCACTAACCAAAATCCTGCATGCCCTAACCTTACCTGACCCTAACCGTAATCCTACTTATTCTAACCTAACCCGCCATCAAACCTGACGTCATGATTAACAGTAGTTGGTTAAACATTGCATCATGAATATAGCCCGTTCCTAAACATAACCACAACTAACCTAATCCGTCACTAAACATAACCCTTCATGACCTATCTCTAACCCAACCTAGCCTGCCCTTAAATATAACCCTACATGACTACCTTAATCCTAACCATAATACTACCAAATCTAAACTAATCCGTCACTAACCATAATCGTGAATGCCCTAACCTTACCTGACCCTAACCATAATCCTACTTATTCTAACCTAACCTGCCCTGAAACCTAACCTAATTAGGAAATACATGGGTCTATTTCTCAAAACCAATTCGTTCCAAAATTTGGCCCAGTTTTGCATACCAGCATCTCCTTGATTGTGGTAGGCCATATGTACTTTTTCTACTTTTAAAACTGTATCATTTTTATCTTATCAAATCAAGGAAGTAGTTGCATGTAGACCAGATTATGGAGGGTTGAGTGCAGGTAAGCTGACTTTATGATGTCTTTTCCATTTCCTTTTAACTGACGCTGTCAATATTCTTAATGATTCAGATTTTGTCACTGGGCTGTATGGAGGATTGTAATCAATTCCTTATTTCTGACCGCAATGAACAAGTCGAGCTTTGTACTTAATAGCTTGTCTTTCTTAAATTTGTACATCCATCGACTTGTGACTAGAGTTTTGTCCATTTTGCCAAACTTTCATAGTCCGTGTTCTTCATCTGTTTAAACATTGCTTTCGACTCCTTATCTTTTACTGTTGACTGGAGCACGTTGACTGGTCACCCTTGAGGATTACGTCGTCAAAAAGTCCCATCGTGACTAAGAGTGCTTCCATCCTAACTCTCCATTCGGAGTAATTGCGCTCCGGTGAGGTTCAATTATGAAATTTCTGAATTCTATTTCTTCCATCGTATGTTATTATAGTCTTGTCCCGCTACAACGAACAAACGACAATTCGAAGACCACGTGACTTAACCCGACCGTTCGACACATCAAGAACAAAACCTGAATCCGATCCTTACCTGTTCTGCTACCAATTTTTTGGGATCAAGAGTGAGAGGGAAACGAACAACGATCAATTCGCATAAGATTTACCGTGTCCAACCTAAGCATAGCACTTATGGGGAAAAAACAGTGATCGATACCACTATCGATTCACTATTAACAACAAAGAATTTTTTTTTCTCGCAACAGTGTCAATTTATACTTGCGTCATGTGTCAATAATTAATTAATTAGCCTGTGTAATTATAAAAGCCAATCTTAAGAAATCAACAACCTTCATTACAATTAGAGTTTATGTCAGTAAAAAAGAATCACCTTGCAAGCAGAATATAAATAGGCAGGTCGTCTCCTTCAGGACAGTTTTAATCCCGAGATCATTTCAGCTTGATAAAGCCGAGGGAAAAGAGATCGACAACGCGGAAGACCCTTGTCTGAACAAGTTTTATCTCGGATTAAGACGTGAATGCCAAGTCGGCCCCTTTGACGTCCCCCGTGCCGCCCGTTTGTCGGCGAAATCGCAATGGCCCGAGCACATCCCAGTACACAAAGCCCACCGGGAGACAAAGCTCTTGTAAATATTAGCGCAACGGATTAGCCCTTTATTAACCTTGTAGTCCCCTGGAGGTAATTAGGAAGATGAATGGTCGGAAAGCGGAAAGCGTATTTTTTAACCCTCCTGGCTCTCTGCAACAACGGTTTAGCAGTTGTGCTAGTCAAAACGACGTTCATTCTGATTTATAACCGACGCTAGCAGGACCACTTATAGTTTTAATTTTTCTCGCGATAAAACAGAGGTATCATCGCCATTGTGGCTTTTATTCAACCTCTCAGGTACACGTGTATAAATTATTCTCATGAATCAGTAATAAATTTCTAGTTTTTATTTTAAATCAAATTGAAACTTGAATAAATTTTTTTATACTATTATTTGGAGATCGTGAGATGCGGTTTGGTGTGACGTAGGTTTTAGAAAAACATTGTCCACCTGCATTCTCAACACAATACACAAGAATGGCACAATTACGCAGAAAACAAACACTTTGAGCCCTGAAGATGATCTCAATAAAGGTCGAAACGTTGGCACGATAAAGAAAGTGTTTTTCCAAAATCTACGTCACACCAGACCGCATCTCACGATTTCCGAATAATCGACTAACGGTCACTAATCACCACACATTTTAATCTGCATATACTCGCGGAGTCATACGCGTTTGGATTTCTCGCCTATACAGATGGGTCAGCATATTACCTCGACCTACTTACAATCCTGTTATCTCGTTATATTTGTACAGTATTTTCTTATCAATTGC